TTGTTCGCAGATGACTTAAAGGTGTGGAGAGTAATCCGCGTACTCAATGATTGTGAGTTTGTTCAGCAGGACCTCGACCGCCTCTCAACGTGGTCTGCAGAGGTCAACCTTCTGATCAACCCGGCGAAGTCGCAATTCATGAGGCTAGGTAAGTGTGAGCACAGCCGAAGCTACAAACTGGCTGGTCAACCGCTGCATCCTTCGCCTTTCGTGCGCGACCTCGGTGTACTCTCACGCTGCGAACTAAAGTTAATTGACAACTCGAATGGGCTGTACCAAAACAGCCTTTGGATGCATTGGGCCGTCAGGCGCAGCTTCAGCACTTGGTCCGATGTGATTTCTACTCGCATCTTCGTCTCGATAATACGACCAATGCTAGAGTACAGCTCTCCGCGTATTGTCCCATCGCCCCGGGGCGAGGTAGAAAAGCTTGAGCGAGTGCAGCATGTGGCCACCAGGCAGATTCCCAACTTACGAGGTGTGCCATATGAAGACCGATGTAAGAAAATAGGGCTGTACACTGAGGGTTGACCTTATAATGACGTACCGGATATTACATCTGAGTGATTACTCCATGTTGAGACAACTGCTTCATCTGCCCACACCAAGCTGCACGCGAGGACCCCGGTATAAACTTATCGTACCGGAGTTGAAGCGGGTCGCTCACCAACTATGTTTCGAACACAGATTGGTGAACGTTTGGAACGACCTGCCGCAGCACATAGTAGGGGCGAACTCAGTGTCGGAATTTAAGAAGCTCCTTGAAAATTACTTTGCAGACGCAAAATATACAGAACGGAACAGAACATAACCAGTATATGTTCAAGAGCGACGAATGATGCAGCTATACAGATAAAGCTCTAATGGCTGCTTCGAACCAGTATTCAGTATTCAGTATTTACGTTTACTTTGGGCTGGATGGGATGGGATACTGCCTTCGGCTTACAGTGCACAGATTTCGCGCTACATACACGCATAAACATAAGATGACGACAGTCGTATCACTGCTTTGGCCCTCTCAGCAGAGTACCGCCCATGGTGTTTTTCTCTTACCTAACTAACTAACTGTCAACCCCTTGCAGTAGCCAGTTGCGCAGGTCACTTAGATCGGTTTGTTCACAAGCACGCAATGATATCTTTTCACGCCAGACCCCGATTATTCGCATTCAAATACCTTTGAATGTCTTGATATGGGGACACACCGAATCTACCCGAGCGTTGGCAGGTCGTCGTAACCGTGTCATCTCACAATCTTGGTCTTCTCCTGTTCGTGTAAGAACTTCATATTTGAAATATATTTGTTCCCGAATTCAATCGGATGTCTGATATATTGCTTGTAACGCATTACTTGACCTACCATTGACTGCAGAAACTGTACCAGCAGACATGCGTTGTCATCAGGTACTCAATATGGTCAACAGCAAGAGTTGGCCACACACACATCAGCCCAATTACAGTAGTATTACCAAAGCAGGCATGCAATCACCATGGTGGATAGCTGGATGTTGTTCTAAATAATGGATGGTCATCCCCATGACACTACAAAAGCTCGTACTAAGACAGTTCTATGCAGGACGTCCGGGAGTCAACCGGATGAAGGCGCTTGCCCGAAGCTTGTGTACTGGTCATTCATGAACAGACAACTAAAAGAAATGACTAAAGTTTGTCACAAGTGCGCTGTTGTTTCAAGGACACCAGTAAAGAGGGAACTACATTCATAGCCGAAAACAATGGGACCATGATGCCGCGTCCACGCCGAATTTGAAGGATTGATTAACGGCCAAAATGTTTCTCATTGTTGTGGACTCTTACAGGAAATGGCTCCTGATGAGCAACACATTCACCCAAGCCAATATAAGACAGCTACTGCAAATCTCCGTCAGATTCGGTTGTGCAGAGACATTTGTAACTTATAACGCCACATTGTTCATCTGAGCCCTTTCACGGAGTACTGCAGACAATGCGCTGTCCAACACATTCGCTTAACGCCGTTTCAATTAAAATCGGATGGCTAGGCAGAGAGGTTAGTGGATAATTTCAAGCAAGCTCTTCTCAGATCTAAGAGCGATGGACGTATAGTGGTGGTAGTTGAAATAGTACTCATCGTAAACCGATAAACGCCAAACCCACTGAGCTGCATGAGGATCCTTCAAATTCAAACTGAACATTTTCTGTACATGTTAATGTTAGGTCATTGAGGTACTCCGGAAGAAGGCCAACACATAGATTTTAACTCAAAATGTTAATGCATAATTCGTCGACAGTTTCGCTCAAGAATAAGTTTATAACATGTGAGTCAACATCAATCGAGTACATGCACTCTGTTTGTATTGACGTATGGTCAAGTAGTGGTTATAAGTAAGGCTAATACGGTTATGCCCCGCAACCCAAAGTGACCCATCATTCTTCGGTGTGATGCGTAACCAACAGGGCTCAGATAAATCTCGTCTTACCAAATGGAAGGCATGACGAAACGAATCGCAGCCTTCGCTTCCTAGTGCTTGTCGTCCGCGGAGATGAAATAAACACAGATTGATAAGATGCCTTGGTGGTTGTATTTATGTTTAAATAATTCCACCAATACCTGCGTTGGAAAATGTACGAAAGTTTAAGGAGCCACAAACATTTATTACTTTTGTTCGTGAAAAAATGACATCAACCAGGTTTTGTCCCCTAGTATGCTGCGCTGGGCTTTAGTCCTATAAGCTTAACCATAGGAAAATCTCGTTAGTTCCTGGGAAAGCGAATGGAATTGCCGACGTAATAAGTCACGAACCGCAAAGGTCATCCACCAGGTTGCGTACCGAAGCCTGCTGAACTGCTTCATGTGCAACCGCATTTAGAGGTCAACCACAGTGCTAACCTAACTCTGCGTGGCAAATCAGATACGCTAGTGGAGTTTTGAATGCCACACTGCTTCGTATAGTTGCGTATTTCGGGCCCGCACCTGTCATCCGATTTTTAAGGCAGTTAGTCGATGATAGACTTGTGTTTATATCACCAAAATTTCTGGGGGTACACCTAGGCCTGTGTGTCTGTTTTGCGGTACATTCAATTGGTTCCCATGAATTAGCCGTTAGCCTTTTTCAGCCTGTAGTTATTAAGCCGAATGATTTCGGAGCAATGGCACCGTGGTCTGCGCTAATCACGTCGATTGAATTCGGCTGTCGTACAGTAGCTTTGAGATAAGTAGGACAGAGTACTCGGATGTTAGCACTACTAGGTACGAGTTGTCGAGATTCATGCCAATCGCTCCGGTTACCCCAATCAGTGTACGTTTTGATGTGGAATTTTATGCGCTTTATTAGCACACCTGCTACCGCTTTTAGGCAATTCGGTGTCAATTGTTGAAGGGATTGTTGCAAAATCGGATGATCTAGCTTAATCAGCATAGAGTTATGATGTTTTGGTTCAGCAAGAAGCGATATTCCCATTCTATGTTTAAAAGGTATTAACGACCGCACCGCAGTTCCTCGGTGTATTTTAACGCAGGCGTTCACGGACCACATCCGTCAGCTTGCAAATTTTGAGTACCGTCGTTTTACTTTGTCCAAACTACCTCTCTGTTAATTTAAAGGCAACCATACTTCTTATGCTACGGTTTCTTTATATGCATATTAAGCGGTTGATTCCATTTCTTGAAATGCCTTTCCGAATAAAATAGGAACGAAGCATTTCTGTTGTAATGCTGTTGTTATCTGGTGAGACTAACGGATATTGACACTAATTAAGTAAAGCAAATACTTTCTGAATTTTATCGAGCCGATTGCATGGAGACGACTTTTACACTAATTTCGAATGTGATATTAGAGCCAGGGGAAGAAGAGTCCATCGCTGGTTTTGGGGTATCATAATTTAACCGTTTGACCCTTGCCACAGATGACAACTGGTTAATAATTATCAAGCTAGTTGTTGGTATCACCACAAAATACCATTCCAGGCGAATGCAATGCACCATCTAAATGAGTTCGTTTAACAAACTACATAAATTTTAAGGATTATACATTATAGCAGACAGATTAGACCAACTAAGACAATGCGATGTCCTTGCAAGTACATTTATATTGCGGGAGAATTACATCGTATTTTTAGTTGTCAAGATTCCCTACCAGGTGAGGAAATAGCTTTATAATTGGAATACTACACATAACATGACAATGTATATTTTTGCTTGAGAATATGTACAAGACTTGTCTAGTATATCTGCGTCGTAGTAATGTCTATATAGATAAACTCCAAATTCGTCAAGCGAAATTGTATCTCTCGAACAAAATGTGCCATCAGTTTTGGGTAAATGCCCGTGGTGTTTAGAAAGGGATTATTCGATGTTGAATACAGGTCAGGTCAAGTGTTTATGACACAGCATTACCTCCATCCATTCTAATTAGCAGTAGAGTTGTTCTTAGCGAATTATATTATAAAATTTATTAAAATTCAAATCTATAATCTCTGTAAAGTTAATGTGTAGTGGACCATCTATTTTGCCCCGATAATCAGCATAGCAGAGCGGAAGGTTGTTTTGAAAGACTGTAGGTTCCGTTCGCATTCTTTTTTGAATAACATCTGCATCACGTCGTCTCATACCACCAGTGACCCTTGAAGCACACTGCACTCTCTTTCTCTTTCGATAAACAAGATTCCGAGTTACGCTGTCTGGGAAATTGGCGGCTATATAAGCAGAATGTCAATCGCAATCAAAAGAAAATCTCCTGTGCGAAGCTATGTACACTTGGTTTGTATCTGTCTATCTGATGGCATTTGCTGGCCAGTCAGACGCAATCGGTAAGTATACATCACACAGTCGTCTAGTAGGAACACCGTTCGCTCTCATATGCTTTCTGATGCTATGGTCCATTAGTGCATGCTCAAATTAAAATCAAACAGTAGCACTACACGCCTAACTCCCTTATCGATTATTGCTTTCATACGCTTTATTTTTAGTGAAATTGTCTGTCCAGTTGTCGGCCCTTGCATTGAAAAGAGATAAAGGCGACGTAACGATGGTGCATTCGAAGGATTCTTGTCCCCTAGTAAGTTCCATAGCTGCGATCATTGCATTCGAACCAAATGCACCGTTTGGTATGGTATTCAGCGAATTCAAGGCAAGAAGTTGTACTCATTAAGCACTAGAGCTCAGGTAAGAGTAATCAAAGATAGGAAAAATCAGTGAGATAATTAAGCGAGATAACTTTTGCAGTCTACTCCGTCTTCACCGTCTGATAATATACCACACCCACCGACAGGTCAGTTGACTCAACGGCAATAGTCCGTTGTTATTCCAATCAGGTTTGAGAGCAAACGATGACCCATCTCTATAACCAGAATATGTACTCAACCATATTAAAACACTGGTTAAATGGGTACTGTAAACTTTGGTTATTTTCAGATCTCAGGCACTTAGAAGGCCGTTATGCATAAACTTCAGACGACAGTATTAAGATGACTAGGTGTTTAGCAACTATTATTGAGTGTTTATCGCATTGTGTGACGTTTAATTCCTCCGTTTATTCAAAATTATCTATCGTTCTTTAGTTGAAAACACGGGCTTGGCATAACTGGATTTCTGGACTTTTTATGGACTGCAACGCTTCACCCGTCAGAGCGCAGGAAACGGCCCCCTGGTATCCCCTACAAGTTACAATGAATGAGACAAAATTCCCAGTTGACTACCACAAGTTACCGACGTTTGCAAAGGAATGGCAAATCAACCGTTTACTCAACGCCGAAGCAGAGACTTGTCAAACTGCAGTCAAACTAAAGACAAACTATAGTCAAACTACATTCACAGAAGACGAGCGTACTAGCCTTGGTGAGATTTTGTCCTAAGTGTCTAACCTAAGCAGTTAGATATTCGTTGTGTTCACCCAAGTATATACATTTATGCATCATCTTAATCGTAGAATGGCTGATTGGAATTATTGACACACAAAGTGAGCTCGCCTTGTCACCATTAGGCACTATAAGCTTACGCTACAATGTAAGCTGAATTTTCTGTTGCTAAGAGCTTCAAACCGTTTGTTCCGCAGCCAGCGAAAATGAAACGACTGCTGGTAAGTCACGTGTATGACACAGCGCATTCAGCTTCATGCAGAACTCGAAAACATGAACCATTGATACAAATTTTCAATTTGAAGCAAAACCGATGAATTAGCTGGTTATAATTGCTTAACCGCGCTTCTATCATTGGAGCTATCCAAATCACACATTTATGCGTGATTTTCAATGTCAGCAAAGCGGCAACAGCCGTATCTAATTTTTATCATAAACATATATATAGTGTGTGTTTTGAGGTTTTTTCATACATCTAAGACAACAGTGATAACACAGAACACTTGAGATTAGTAGTAATAGCCATAATCGGCTCCACTTCCCTGCCATTTACTTCCCTCCTAGTATAAATTATCACTTATGATTGAAATAATGAAGTAAAATTCATCCACCTCAGCCGCCAACAGACAATTTTTCGGTCGACGACACAAGTCAAATAATTCCACTTAACCTCATTAGAAAACAGCTTGAAGAATGGTAAATAGAAATCAGGTTAATTGCACCGCTTCAGTCTATCTTTATCCCGCATTTGTTTAGCAAGGCAACCCTATTCCAACTCCGCCTAAGATTGTGAGAAAGTCAGCTACAAGTGTACTCATTTACTGGTAATAAATTAAGCACCAGAGCGCGTTCCTCGTTGAAACGTTCACTCATAAGTTGGGTCATTACAGTACACTCGCAATTAATTCTAATTACTTTTACAACTGTTATGAAGTGATCGCTTAATCGTGTGCACCTTTGACAGGATACATTCTAACTGGGCCGGCAGATACAAACGTGTGCAGAAAAGTAAGTTCACTGAAAATCCCAGCCATTTTCGTACGTGAGCTATCCGATTACACTAACGAATGCCTATGGGTTTTCAAACGAAAACCATTCTCGAGATTAGCAGAAAACAGTGGCTGAGAGTTGTCCCCCATGAATTTACATTTTACACTCAACGGAAACTTCTGCTGTGGTTCTTTTACAATTAATACACAGCTTCGGAAGATAAAAAGATTCGTTGATGGAAAATTCAACCCCACGAAATGTTCCAAATTGGGAGATGACGTGGAGCCAGGTCCAAAACTGAAGCGGATAGTGCGATATAGGCTGGTTGTACATCAAAAGATTTCAACCACTTTTGGTCCGCAGGAAAATTCACTGATGTTCGTCATCGAATTAAATGACGGTGAATGCCGTTATAATGGCTACTGGAGGCACTAACAAGAGTAATCAGCTACTACGTCTACACTAATCAAGAGCGGCAAGTGAGTGTGTATCATTTCCCTAAACAACTTGAGCGAAGTTAGCTCAATCTTATATATTCGTACAGCATTTGTTCTTTTGCATTTCAGGTGATCATATAAGTGCAGGTGCATTTGTAATCACCATAGTTGTTCCGTAGTGTTCTTTATAACAAAATACATTCGGCACAACACGTGTTTCTTTCCTTAATAATCTATCCTTGTCCATATCCTACCAGCTTTGTAGATCTATCACGTCGAATCGATTAACTTATACCGTACCATACTCAGCTCAACTAAGCAGACACAAAGAAAGTTATTCTCAACTTTAAACCGTACGGGCAACCTGGATATTTTCATGCACAGCGCAAAGAGTACTTTTGCTTATTAGGAGTTCAGGAAACTGATAACGCATTAAATCAGTTGATCCATAAATACTGAACCAGCCGACACAATGATGTGGACTTGTTTGCAAGCGCGCGTTAACACAACATATCGCCAATTGTCAATTGGAATTTAATCGCTAGTGAAGACACTTATCGTGTGTTTATTTTGACTGTCGAGGTTGGTAAAGCTCGTGAACCAGAGGAGCTGTAAGACCGCAAGTAAAGGAAGATTGTACGAGCAACTTAAAGGGGTAGATTTTAAGGAGCCCAGCTGGGTTTATAAATGCTGCTGAAAGGGAAATCATCTAGGTGTTTACTTGCTGCTAACTGGCTGTATGTAGTGCACAATAGGTAAGTATAAAATATTAATTACCTCTGTTTTAACTTTTGGAATACAGCACAGCAGTTAAACTCAGGTTCGACCACGGTTCACCCTGAAGCGAAATCCGATCAAAGCATTCAATAACAAAAGCAGCTGATGGGCCAGATAGTGCCCCTTCAAAACGCACCTTTGAGACGGGGCAAAGTGCTGGCGATTTGCAACTGGTAAGCTGTTTCTTATTGACGGTGGATTGATCAAGAGCAGAACTTGCAATATCAGCAATGTAGAGGCAATAAGGTGGATAGGGATTCAGAATACGTAATCCCAGTTCTACTACTGTGGCGCAGAGGTCATGTGCTACCTACTGGATAGACAAATAAACGGCCGAATCTAGGTGATGGTAAGAACAGAGAATATAAACTAAGCAGCGTTTTATTAAAAGCACTTCAGCATAGCGAAGGCTGGAAATAAGACACAAAAATGAAAGCTAGGGGAGATGTACTTGCGTGCAGATGTTGCAGATGGCAGGGTGTAGGCGTTCGCGTTTGTGGTAGAAAGACAGTTTCGTGTGCTAACTCAAACGCACATGAACAAGGTTTAAGACCATCAAGCCGCGTAATGTGTTATGCACATGATAAACATATGAGTTCAAATATTTACACAACAGTTTTCGATCAACCTGGGGGAAACTGCAGATAATTTATTTCACATATGTTCCTAAAAAGAACGGCTCTTCCGTAATGTCACCAACCCGTAAATTCTCCTCATCCAGTTAAATCAAAATAATAAACATTTATATAAAAGAATATTTGATTTTGTATTAATTTTAAGTAGCAGGATTTTAGTTGCAAATTTTTATGTTCCTTCCCAGCACCGCACAACCTACATAGCTCAACCGCAATCCGGAAACCCACCAGACGCCTTTCGTCCTAATGGTGCTTATCAATAGTGCTCATTTCCTCGGTCCCCTACTGAAGATCGACCTCATGAATACGGGAGGCTGACGCCAGGTAGCCACCTGTATAAGCTACGGAGTCATAGGGGACGGCAGCTGGGCTACATGAATTGCACGACTTGTCTTCCACCGCCAAACATGTTAGTACACTCGCAGATTGCATTTGCTATCCTCTAGGTCATATCTTTCTCACACTATATCCTATATCCATTGCATTGGGAACTAAAAGTGGTTACTCTTAACTATACAAACGTAGCCTCTCCTATTTTCAAATACTATGGAAATAACGTGTAGTGATAGAAAGTAATGACCTGGAGATTAGCTACTGATTGTAACCTGTGTGGCAGTGGAAGATGGGTCTTGCTATATCAAAGTTAGCTTGCATATTATGTGACTTAGCTGTCGTCCCCCATAGCTCAGTTGCTTCAACTGCTGGCTAGTTGGCGTCAGCCCCCAGCGGCCAAAGTATTGATCCCCAGTAGGGGGGGTTGAGGGGATGCGCATCAATTACGAGCCCTAATAAGGCGAAATGCTTCTGGTGCATTTCCGGACTGCGCTTTATCCATAAAGCCTCTGAGTTGCTGCTTCGTCTAGTGACCAAGCGGTAATGGATTGGCTTTCCTGTATCTGCCAGGCTATGTCTAGTTTCATCACCATCTATTTTGAAGGCACAGCTGACGGCCATTATAATTCAGGACAACAGCCTCATGGTACATGTCAACGCGAACCATATGATGGTTCCTCTTGACTGTGAGTTGTAAGTTGTGGGTGGATTAATGGCAGTTCAGCAACCGCCTCGTGGCTGTTTACATAACTCAGTTTCCTGAGTTGCCAAGTCGGAAGTACGTAAAGTTCACTCGTTGTATAGCTGTGATATAGTATCAGGAAATTAGCGTGTATGTCTTTTTCCGATGCACTAAAATACCTATAAGTTTGCGCACCGTGATCACTGCTTATGGTGTTCAAACACTTATATACTGACCAAATATCCAAAGGCTCAGTGGTTTCCGGATAATAGTCTTTAACTGGTGTACTTAACACAAGCTGAAATCGGTTGGCGTTTGTCATCAACTAGCGAAACCGTCCATTAATTAGTATGTAGTGAAAACCAATCTAACTGCTTTTTAATAGCATACTTACGGAAAAAGAGAAATTATTTAAAGTCTCCCTGTTTAAAATACAAAGGTGAATTTTTGCAAAAGATTATATATATTAAATGTCCTAAAAATCACTAAAAATCGCTATTATGCAGTGTATATACAGTTAGTGATTTTGGACGGTTGTACGTATTCAGACATCCCCAATAGCCCAGTTCAAGCTATATAATTCGATTTAGCAGCTTTGAAATTTTCACCTTAGATGATGAAAAACATATATAGTTGAAATTCAACCATTACTGATACAAAGTCAGGTAAAAAGACATATTTTTATTGCTTAGTTAATTAGGAACGTGGCGTACAAGTAGTATAACGCATTGTTCCTTACAAGAGACTGAGAGCAAAAATATTATACCATCACGTCTGTTTCCGAAGGTGCTATGGGATGATTCTAAGATGCTGAACGTATTAGGTGGTTAGTTAAAGCCGGGTTGAGCATTCACGTATGGAGAAACATTAGTTGGTCTGGACCCAGCGTGCATTGACAAAAACTAAAATAATGGAGGATATATAAGTATGATTCACGGGATCCGTTTCCGGATTCGCCTATCACTGCTGCCTCCCTGAGGAGAGCCACAGGACGCCTGCGCCTACAGAGAGACCATAGGTGGCTTGCGCTGCACCACTCACAGCTCCAACCACACACCCCATATTTATTGTAAACCCGAGGGAATAAGTCCGGAAAGCATGTGGATGAGAGCCGAGTGTCATCAACGGACCCGGCCCAAACTC